GCTGACCGCTTCCTGTGGTTCTGGCTTATTCTCTAGTCTTGGTGTAAGCCCTTCAAGGTTTTGAGCAAGTGCGTGACGTGGTAAAAGCCTCTGGGAGCAAGGGCAGGGGTCTCTCAGTGTTGAGCGGACAAGAGTTGAGATCTAGGAGCTCTCCTGCAGGCACCTGGACAGTGAGAATAGGAGCTCAGGAGAGAAGTTGGGGTGCTACATCCCACATCCGGGGATCATCTTTCCAGAGGGGTCAGTTGAAGAAGTGAGGACAGGGCAGCACCTGGAGAGACAGGAGGTCCAAAGGCGGAAACTTCCTGAGCGGCCACCTGTAAGTGGCCCAGAAAGGAACTGACGCTGGTGGAGGAAGCCAAAGAAGGTAGTCAAGGTGGGCGGCCTGAAGGAGGGCAGGAAACAGGAGCCTAGAAAAGGGAGCTAACGCAGGAGCTCCTGGCTGAGAGCTCAGAGCTCCGGTGTTGTCCACGCCCAAGGAGAATGAGGGCTAAGGCGAGTCCATTGGATTTAGAGACAAGGCCCCGCGTCTCTGCCACCTCCTGCTAGTCCTGGTAGCCAGGCCTTCCTTTTGACACAGCCACTTCTCAGACAGCCCGCTGCTCTCCTGCCCTGCGGCCGTGCGTCTCTACCCACCCTGATGTCCCGGTTGATTCCACTTCTACACTCTCATGGTTGCACTTATTCTGTTCCAGTCTCCCTTGCCTTTCCCTTAGTCATCCTTCTTTTGGACAATTTCACTGTGACACCAAACCAAACATTCTCTGGCCCCCTCAGTATTCCTTCTCCACTCTGTCCTGTCCACTTCTGCCAGATGACTCTTCCTAAAGCTGAGCTCCCATCACAGTATCTTCTGCTCAAAGGCCCTTAATGACTCCCCATTACCTACAAATGAAAGGTCAAATGCCTTATGATGGCAGTCAAAGCTCTTCTTTGCAGCTTATCAAAGAGACAACTCTTTATTTTCCTGCAAGCAGTATTTATTTCCCTGGCTAGTGATTACGTCTCTCTCTTATATATAACACTGGACTTTGAAAAGAGCCCTGAGCTTAGCGTCTGTTTCTGTGGTGTAGATTCCCATGTTTGCTAAGTTCAAGCTAACAGTATGACCTTACTGAATGCAAAGCAGGGAACAAACGCAGACCATCAGCTCCAGGGGACTGTGCAGAGGCCACTCCAGCACACCACTGGTGGGGACAGACCTATGAATGAGATGGACAAGTGTCTCATGGAGCTTGGCTAATGATATCACATTACTGTTTTACTTACATAGTAGCTTCCACTACCATCCTGGTGGGTCTGGATTTGATTGTGTTATGAAAGTCCATGTCTTCCCTTATAGTCTTAGGCTGTGAGGCCTGAAAGGGCTAGAAGCACATCTTACACCAGGCACAGTACTCTGCTCATGAGAGGCACTCCAGATTGGCTGGCAGATTGACTTTGTGGGGCAGGGAGACAAGAACTGCCCCTGAATGGATATAATGTACTGGATATAATGGATATAATGTAAGGCCCTCCCACACCTGCCACCTACCCCAGGGTGGAAGCAACTCCAAGCCGCAAGTCAGCTTTGAGAAACACAAGGTTGGCCTTTGATAAAATCACCAAACAGAAAGTGTATGTCCAGCCTTCTTTGCCCTCTAATCAGCACCTGCTTCCCACCCCCTGGCATCCTTGCCCATGGCTGGTTCTCAGGCCTGGCCTCAGTTCTGGCTCTCCACCCTCGCTAAGGCCTTCAATGAAAGTAGATGCTCTGACATCCACAACTGTGTGAGGAGTCGAGTGGTGCCTGGCTTCTCAAACGGGTCTGAGACCTCCCCCACCATGCCCACTCCCAACTCCATAAAAGATTTTGTTCTCTGGCTTACACTGTGACTGTTAGGAAGCACATATGGATTCTGGTCATCCACGGGGCCTTCCATGGAGAGGGATTCTGACTGAACCTCCACAAAGGGGTTAGTGTGTGTGTGTGTGTGTGTGTGTGTGTGTGTGTGTGTGTGTGTGCCAGAGAGAGAGAGAGAGAGAGAAACAGGCATGAGCGGACCATGTACCAGGGCTGTGCACACCATGTACTCGCCGCCTGTCACACTCATGCTCCCACACTCGGAAAGAACAGCTGCCACCTTCCCCAGCATGGTGGGCAATGCCACAGGAGGCACCCAGGCACTGCCCTGGCACAATAACATGACCTCTCTAGGCTGGCCGTGGTGGCGATCTGCTTCCATTTGGATAAGAGTGCTGAAAGGGCACTTGTTATCACTGCCATAGGTCCTGTTTCTTCGTGCGTGGGACTGGAATAGGCACAAGCCCCACGAATTAGTTTCCTATCTCCATCCACTCTCCTCTTGTTTCAATAGTCCCACCACAGAGCCCACAGCACTTCAGAGACCAAGGCTTTATTTTTTTTTCTCTAGCTCCAGTGTCACAACTGTAGCAGCATATCAGAAATACCCCCACATAAAACACACAGTTCTCCCTTTCAAAGAGCTGGCGATCATGGAGAGGCAGAACGATATTTACTACAGGCATTCAAGAAACAACACTTGCTCCCTGGATAACACACACTGTGCATCTTGCAGGTAGAAAGCAGCAGTACCTTCTCATTTAACAGGCACAATCACCCTTAAATAAAGTTAAATAAGACCTTACCGGCATAACAATGTGTTGCAGATGCAGCCTTAGGGGGACTTGGGAGGACAGCGTTTGGAATAAGACATCAGCATTTAAGAAAAAAGAAAGAGGGCCAGCTGAGTGGCTCAGTTGGTTAAGAGCTCGCTCAAGAGTTTGAGCTCTGAGCAACAGCGGTTCGAGTCCCGGCCCGAGCTAAGCAGCCGCTGAGCTGCCAACAGGTGGCAGGATGGCTCAGCTAAAAAAAAAAAGACAGAAAAAGAAACAGAAACCATACAAAAAGATGTAGGCCAGAAAATGGCTAGATTCAACCAAAATTTTAAAAACATAGTCATGGGTTGAACATTTATTCCATTTGAAAATCAACTTTTCATTTGCAAATAAAACTCTGATCTACAAGTGGTTGAGTCTTATATTAGGGTCTGAGCAGAAGAGTGCGCGCGCGCGCACACACACACACACACACACACACACACACACACACACACGGTTATTGAGTACCTGTACTCAAGTGGCATTGCCTGGCTGCAGATGTCACCCCCAAGACACTAATGACCCAGTACATTATATTAATTTGGTCATCACTGGGGGTGAGGGGTAGGGGAGAGCATTTTCCGATTTAGCACCTCACAACGTCAACGTCACTGTCAGCAAGTGGACGGCAGTCTGTACGGGGCAACAGTACAAGCTTTGGGGCTCAGGATGAGTGGGGAAGGTTCATTCTCACCAAGTTAACGACCGCTGATATTTGTTGCGTGTTCACTCAGCCTCAGGAAGACCCAGTGAAGAAGGCAGGACACGTGGCGTACCCCCTGCGTCCCAGCCTATCCATCTGCACAGTGAGAGGAGACCAGAATCAGACCTCCGGACTCTGAGCCCATTGCACTCTGAAATCCACTCCTTCCCTTCGCTTCTTGCATCTCCCCACCCAAAGGTTTCCCAGAGAAGTGAACAGCTTTGCAGAATATCGAAACCAACATCCTATAAGAAACAAAGAACGTTTTTGCAGCAGTGTGGCACACAGTAGTGGATGAAAGGGGTGGTTGGATCATTATTTTAGAATTTGATCAGAGTTTTTCCATTCTCAGAATTTAACACGAACATAGGACATATTTAGAAAGATGTAAACACTTCTCGCAGCAGCATGGCCTCTAGGGCTTTTGTATACCGAGTGGGACAGATGCTTGCTGCATCTGGTTTCCACTTGGGGGCGGGGGGGAGGTTAACCCTGAGGTGGGACAGGCCAGCAGCCAAGCTCTCCAGCCCAGAAGCAAGGCCCTGCTTTGGCACGTGTGGGAGCTGCCCGTGACACTCGCCTGTCCCTGACCTGCAAGGACCAGAGGCACCGGGTGCCAGGTCCCAAGATGGAGATTGCCCCAGTGCCACCTGAATACTTCCCAGGAAGTTACAGGAGCCCAGGTCTGAGCCTCAGTGAGATGCTGGACATGGACTGTGCCTGAGGTGAAGGGTGAAGGGCAAAGGGTGAAGGCAGGGACCAGTCTGCAGGAACTTAACATGCTTCCTGCTCATGTTAAGAGACAGGCTCTCAAAGGAAAGTGTGAAGCCATTGGTCTTCCCGTGGTGAGAGGTCTGGCAGCCAATGCAAAGGTGTGGCTGGAGGGAACGGGCTCGCATTTATTTTCTCTTAGTGATAACCTGGCCCACACGCAGCATGTCAGAAAACAAGGCAGTGAGGCCTCGTGTTCTCAGCTCACGTCGACCTAGTGAGGCTGAACATGGCTCCAGAGGTGTCCTAATTTGTGCATAAGGGTCCAGCTATTGGGTCCCAGCTAGAGGCCCTGGTCTCTGTCATTGTGCAGTGGAAGGCTCTGTGATGGGCAGGGGGGGGGGCGTAGATACACTTGCTGTGTTTTTAAAAATGCCGAAAACTGCTCAGGGAAACAAGCTCAGGGGATATAGTCAAATGCACACAGAGAAAAGAACACCTGAAGTGCTTGAGTTAAAGGTGGCTGCAAAAAGACGTCCTAGGATAATGGTAGGGTTTATCCCAACAAGTAGCCAAACGTTGGCATTTCAAGGGCTTCCAAGTGCTGGCCCAGGAAGGTGAACGTTCATGTCTCTCACAGCCAGGGAAGGAGATGGTCTCAGTGGGTGTAAGACTAATCATCCTAATTCTACTGGGGCCACTGTCCCCCAGTGTGAGCGATCCTGTCACCCCGCATATGTGCATGCGTACAGCAGGAGAAAATGTCCCAGAACCAGGTCCGTGGCCCTGGAATTTCAAGGAAAGGCAAAGGCAAAAGGCACATGAAGGTGACTGATTGAATAAAAGAAAAACAAAAAGTAGCTGGAAGATACATATTATTTTGATTTTTTTCAGCATCCTTTTTTTCCCCCCATCAAAAGAGAAATTCAAAATATAAACTTACGTTTATTATTTTTACATTCAAGTGAAATTTCCCATCTGGGGGCTCAACAAAATTTTAGGTCACATCCAGCAATTTATTACTTTGGTGCCTTTTACTTAACCCAATAGAATTCAGCCCTCTATTAAAAAAAAACAGCTTTGTAGTCCCAGCTGTCACACTTATTCATACACACGCGTAGGCGCACACACAAATCCAAAAACCTCTACATAGAAAAATAAAGGATAAACATTATCCATCCATTTTATATTGTGTACTGAACTTTTATATACTTTTTTTTTCCTTTTTGCTGTCATGTTTTCACTCACTGCACATTTTCTTCCCACCTGTGTGATCTACAAATCTAGGGGAGGAGCCTGTCATGGTGAAGCAGAAAAGCTACGCTTCCTCTCAGGGGAGGAAGAGAAAAAGCAATGTCTTGCTCCCCTTTCAAAATCCTTCCCCACCTGCCACACCTCGGATGTCCCTGTGGACAGCCTCTGCTAGGTGCTGTCCCATCCTCTCCTTTCTGTAAGGCGTCCGGGAGCGGTAGGCCCACCCTGCGAACACCCTGCAAAAATAATCTTGCTGTGAGGGCAACAGAAAGGAAGCAGGCAGGGAAAGCCTTTTAAAAATAAAAGATTCTGGAATCACTGCCCACAGCCTGTCCCTTTAGTATGGAGTTCGACTCTCCAGCTTGTGCTTGGTGAGGAAGTACTTGAAGAACTCATAGACGGACCAGGAAATGGCCGTGGAAGGCATCTGGTAGAGGACGCGGGCCTGCATGCCTTTGAAGTAGCCAGGCAGGCCATTGAGCTGGTACACCGTCCGGAAAGCGTTGGCCATGCCTGACAGCCGGCCACTGATGTTGGCCAGGTTGAGGGCCACGTTCTCCTGAGTATTGAGGAGGGTCTTACACACGTCCAGAGGGGTGGTGGCTGCTGCGGCAAGCGCCCCGGCCAGTCCTCCTGAGATGATGTGGGACTGTGGGTTGTAGCCCCGGTGAGGGTTGACCTGCTCCTGCAGGAACTCGTAGGTGATGAAGTGGATGGACTGGAAGGGAATGTTCATGGTCAGCTGCGTGGTGTAACTCCGGTAGAAGGCCCGCAAGCCCTCGGTCCTCCAAACTGTCCGGATGCAGCTGAGGGCTGACCGGTGGGGTGAGTTGTACATCTGCATGCGCTGCTTCACAACTGTTGTCGGGGCCGCAGGGCGCAACGGGCGAGCAATCAGTCAGTGGGCAGTTGGTTGGTTTGGCCCCACCCCAGGTCGGAGTGAAATGGAAGCCAAGCCATAAAGAGAAACAAGCAAGTTTAGACATGCTGGTAACAGGTCCCAGAGGCCTAGCACACACACAGCCCCAGCCTGCGACCACCGAGGGCCAGCTCCAGGCAACCCCAACCCAGGGCCGGGAAGGTGGCTATTTCCTGAAGTTTCTCTGGCCTGAATCTTGTTGAAGGTGGTCCCTAAATCAGGCCATCACTTCAAACTGGATTCCCTAATGTGACCCCCAAATCCTGGCTACCTGGGGGAATTGCACCTGCCACAAATCTAAATCCTGCCCTGACCCCTCTGCCTTCCTCCATCCCAACACGTCTTCCTGGACTCGTGTTCCATCTATTCTTCTGTGGTCTGTATCTCTGAAAGTGTCATTAGCTTCTGTGTCGCAGTGCTCTTGGAAGAGACACTAGAATTATGTCAGCCCAAGTTCAATGACAACCTCCAACGAAGACCCTGGCTTTACTACAAAAGTAACTGGTGGTTCAAAGGACATGAGGCACATGAGGGCCAACGGTGGTCCCTTAGGCCTAGATTTGTGATCAGCCCCACACATGGCCCAAATGAATTCATACCGTGTGCTTTTCTTTACTTTTAAAGAAATAAAGTCCTTAAATCAATATAACGTCAAGGAGAAGAAGGGGGAGTTGAACTTCATTTTTTTCCCCTTTAAAAAATAAAACGAAAATGCTTGCCTGGTTAGCCCTCATCTGGGCTCAGTGGTCACTGACCAGGTCCCTGTATGAATGAATCGCCTTGAACACACAAAAAGGGAAGCCCACCTCCCAATCTGACCCATCAGGTTATTGAAGGACAGAACAAGTCCCCACGTCTGCTAGGGCATGGGAGCCAGCTGAGAGCAAGTAAGAAATTTTAACCATAAAAAGACAAAAACAGACAAACTTATAAGACTAGACTGAAAATGTTACCTCTGATTCTCCCTTCTGGCAAGAGGCCATTTGCAGATGGGGGAGAAAGGTAGAGAAAGTCCCTCATCTCACAGAGACTAACCCAGGTGAAAGCAGGCCCAGTGCCAGGTCCCAGAGCGCCTCGCTATTTAGACCCAGTTGGCTAAGGACACTAGGACACAGAAAACGCTGACAGGACTCAAGGCTGTACAGTTGAGAACTGTTTCCTAACACTCCCAAAAAATTCAAAAGGGAAAAAATACATACACACATACATACATATATATATGTATAGGAGACAGCTAAAACAAAACAGCCAAATGTTAATTTATGGAGTAGATGGATGCATACGTAGGGGTTCACAATACTCTTGTCTCTACATTTGCAAATGTTTGAAATTTTTCATAATAATTTCAAATTTATTTTTAAAAAGCAAATTGAGTATAAGTCCTCATGAAAGGCCTTTGATGAGTTCCCCCTAAATTTGTGTAGGGTTGATAAAGGTTAACAGGGGCCAGAAGGGGTGTGTGTGTGTGTGTGTGTGTGTGTGTGTGTGTACGCGCACACAGATTTCATAGTGCAAAAGCATGCAAAAGAATGGGCAATAGAGCTTGTTAAAATAGATTCCCTACCCTTACCCCAAGACTTTGATTTAGTGGGGCTGGGCTGGGACCTAAGAAAGCATTTCTCATGTCCCCAGGAGATGCTAATGGCTGCTAGTCCCCAGGTCACATTCTGAGTAACTCCCATTTAAAGGAACAGGAATACGAAAAGGTCAAATGCTCATGTCCCTTCTCAAGGTCTTTAATAATGTGATAAAGAATTCTTTTGCTTATTCTGCCTGGGGGCCAGGAGTCCTCTTGCCCAACCTTCTAGATCCCTCCCCCAACACCTGTTTTCCAGCCCCTTTGACATCCCCTGCTGCCACTCCCTGGGACCATGAAACATTACCTTCTGCTGGATTCATTACTGCATCGTGGAGCAGGGTGGCCATACTCCCAGCTATCCCTGCAAAACAAACTCCAGAAAATTACCCTCTGGGACCAGGCGTTCTGAGGAAGTTCCTGGAACCTAAAATCAGACGGAACCCTGGGCACAGCTTTCTAAGAAGCAAAGTTCACTATCAACTCCACCCAGATAAGTGTTGACTCTTAAAACCCTAAAGTAATCATGGAGATACTGGATAGAAATGGGGAAAATAACATAGGCACAGTTACCCACATTTTCATCTTGCAGAAACCTCATTTTCTCTCTTGTAGTCAATCCTGGGAACAGGCTATACCTGCTAACGCTGGATGGTCCTCAGAAACCACACTTGGTGGCTTTTTCCACTGTTTAGGCTTTAATTCTCGCTTGTCCCTCATCTCTGTCTACAGATGAACTCACTGTGCCCTTACACTGGCGCAGTCAGAGGGAATGGTACCATGCATATGGCTCAGAGAGGGAAAATGCCAGAGAAATCTTTAAGAAAATTCCTTAATAAAATCTAGGCATTTTTAACAAAACGGGCATGGGAAGAGGACGTCAGGAAGATCTGCAATATGGTAGGTTTTTTTCAGAGTTAATTTGCAAAGTTATGATTTGTCTCCGAGGTGGCCGACCCCATCGAGGGTCTCATCTGGCTTCGAGAACCAGGAACTTCAAAAGCCTGATTCAGGCCTGGAATTTTGCTTTGGGCTTCCTCCCTCTTGCGGGTAACATGCCCAGTAATTAAGATTACCGCTGGAAGGTGTGGGGAACTAGGGACACCAGGATAAGGCTTCAGAAAGGCATATACACCCTCCCCCCTCCTCCACACACACTTCTGATCATCCCCAGAAAGGTCAAAGTGCAACCACAGCACACATCACAGTGAAGCAGTAACAGCACTGGGCAGGACGTGGCATAACCTGGGTTCCATCAAACCGCCGTCAAGGGGTTTAGTGACCAAGGAGCTCAACTGTCACGTAAGGCAGTTTCAGCAAAAGAAGGGTTATGGACGCGGGGGGTGGACTCAGAGCGGAGCTCTTTGTGACCATCTCAATAAATGCAACGAACGGCCAGTTTTTAAAAAGCAAAACAAATATCTGCAAACCAGCCAGGTACAGGTATTATTACCAAGGTTTGCTGATGGAAGGGCTGCTTTTTGGTTCTGAGCAGAACAAAAAGAGAAGGGAAGAAAGTTGTGGCTGGTCACGTCTACCTCTCCATTGTTGAACAATTAATTTTGTTAAAATAAGTACACCGGAGGCTGCTATCCATAGTCCCATTCCATACCCAAACAAAAACCAACAAAAAGCCGAACCCACAGAAGAGGCGATAATAACCGCTCAGCTGGGCCCAGTAAGACATACGTATGTCAGAGCTGCCCGCCAAACTCAAGCCCCCATTCCACTCCCTCAAAACAACAAAAGAAAACTATTCCAGCCCTTGATCGCAGAGAGATGCAACTCAGACAAACGGAAAAGAATGGGGGTGAAATTCCCAAATCCCCAGAAGCTTAAAGTGGGAAAGGTCGTCTGCGCTGGAGCAAATCCTTTGTCAGCCATAAAACTTCTTGACCTTTTAAAGCTTAGTTAGATCTTGACGTTGTAGAGACCTGTTGAACCAGTTTTTAAATAGTCTCAAAGAAGCTGTCCAGATAACTTTTTTTTTTGTTTTTGGAATCCAGCATTCAAAAGTTTTGTTCCTAGTCAGGGTTACTTTTTTTCCTAGATCTGATCATTAATGGCTTTTGAATGTTTTTTTAAAAAAATAAAACAAAAAAAAATGAAACGAAAACCCACACAACAATGAAAACTGAAACACCTCTGTCACCGATTTTCCCCAGGCTTCAGAACACGAAGGAGGGGAACAGAAAAAAGCATGTGTGTGTGTGCGCGTGTGTTTGGGTGTGTGTGCACACACGACTCTAGAGTTCTTTATTCATAAGCAAGCGTGGCGGAGACGAGACGTCAGGCTGCTGGGTCACAGGGAGAAGAACCCTGGGGAAGGGTTTGTTGAAGGACAGAACTTTCTAACTCCAGACAAACGCTTTCAAATACCGTTGGCTAGGTGGCTGTTTCCTTGGTGGTGGAAAACGGCATTTAAAGTTCTTTTCATGTTTTCATAGCAGGCAAAATACATGGCGTGGGCCGGCCCTGCGCCCATCATCATCACATTGAGACCTCGCAAGGGCCTCCAGAAGCCTTCAGTCCGCATGATTTTCTTGAGGGCTCCGTAGACGCTTGAGTACTGGGCTTTGGGATCCGGATGCAAACTCTGCATTCGTGTCTGGGGGAGGGCGAGAAAACAAGAAAAGAGGGGGCATTAATGAGGACGGTGGAGAGAGAAGACCCAGAGGGAGTGAGAACAAACGGTCCGCTTTCATAGTTTCACAACATTTTCTGGTGAAGAAAGCACTGATTTCTCTCCTTCCTGAAGTACTCACTCCGCCCCTCTCCTCCCTCCCTGACATACACACATTCACATGGATTTCATGATACCCAGCCAAGAGGGAACAGATGGGAGGCAGGATTTGGAGTGGGAAAACCTGCCCTGCCCCTGGCAAGTTGTGTGACCTCTGATGAGTCCCTTAACCTCTCTTGGCCTGAGGATCCTCCATTAAAAAACAAAACCAACCAACCAAAAAAAAAAAAAAATCCCACAAAAAACAAAACAGGGTTTTCATGAGCATCAAATGAAGCAATGTGTGTCAAAACCCCCAATAAACTCACAGATCTAGTCAAATATAAGTATTATTGTTACTCTGCGGTTCCCAGTCTGGTTCTTTTTTTTTTTTTTTTTTTTAAGCTGAGCCATCCTGCTACCTGTTGGCAGCTCAGCGCCTGCTCAGCTCGGGCTGGACTCAAACCGCTGTTGCTCAGAGCTCAAACTCTTGAGCGAGCTCTTAACCAACCCAGTCTGGTTCTAATGTCTTCTGTGTCCTCACGTATCTGAGACCTTCGTGTTCTGAAAGCTCCCGCTCAGTCCCTACAATGAAATTTCCCCAGAATCCTTGAGCCCGTGTCCAGAATTTCTGCAGTAAGTGTGTCTGCTATAAATATCTTTGCCACAAGCATTTTCACTGCACAAGTAAATTGTCCATAAGGCAATTTTGCCATCAAAGATAAAATAATGAAAAATAAAACAAGGACATTAAAAAGGACATAACGGAACATGAAAAATTAAACAGACTTTATTGTGAAAAGGGAAAATACATTGCCTTCGAAGTCATTAGTATGATACGTTTAGTGCCTTGTGTCTCCTCTTTTGGCATCATATTTTTCTATTCCGTTACAATGTCTTCCTTCATTAAGAGAGGTATCCGTTTCCAATGAAAGAATTGATCATGCTCTCAGAGACTGTTGGGAACTAGTAGCGACCTCTTTTATATTTGCATAGCTTGGTAAACTTTTAGTGTTGACAGGTGGGAGGGCAGACTGTGGTCCCCCAAGGATTTGCAAACTAACATGTGATCATTTTTTAGCATATAGGATGTAATCTGGCTTTCCATGTAGCTTTGCAACCTGCTTTATCCGTAGTTGCTATCATCCACTATTTTAAGACCACCACATCTACTTGTCACTCTATCTGACCATTATGAGTGCTGAGATTTATATAATATAAAAATGGGAGTTCTATGAGAACTTCATCAATGGAGAAATGAAACTAAGTTAACAACTAGCTTAAATACATGAAGTCTGCCGAATGTAAACCAGGTTATCAACTAGCTCCTTTATCTTTTACCATAAAATTGCCTTATGGCCATTTAGCTGTGCAGCAAAAATGTTTGCAGTGAAAACACCGAGAACCCTTCCAGCCTTCACCTCTCTCTCTCATTTCCTCTAAATACTTTTTACATTCATCTTTATAAGATAGCACTTAAATATGAACGGTCTTGTCCTTAATTTCTTCATCTGTACAGTCTTGCCTCCTGAGGCAGAGACCCCGGCTTTCCCCACTTCTGTTCATGCCATCATGCTACCCAGGCACTTGAGTAGGTGTGATAGTTAATCTTATGTTTCAACCTACACTGGCACCAAATAGGATCAAACACTAGTCTAGGTGTTTCTGTGAGGGTTTTTTTTTTTAAGATGAGACTACCATTTAAATCAGTAGAATTTAAGGAAAGCATATTACCCTCCCTTGTGGGAGGGACTCATTTAATCAGTTGAAAGTGTGAAGAGAAAAATACTAATGTCCCCCAAGGAAGAAAGAATTCTTCCTCTAGACCAGCGGTTCTCAACCTTCCTAATGCCGCGACCCCTTAATACAGTTCCTCATGTTGTGGTGACCCCCAACCATAAAATTATTTTTGTTGCTACTCTATAACTGTAATTTTGCTACTGTTATGAATCGTAATGTAAATATCTTTTTGTTTTCCAAGGGTCTTAGGCGACCCCTGTGAAAGGGTCGTTCGACCCCCAAAGGGGGTCGCTGCTCTAGACAGTCTTTGGACTTGAGCTGCAATGTCTGCTGTTCCCTGGGTCTTTGGACTTGCCAGGTGTCATCACTCAGTTTGGAGAACCACTTAATAAAGGCCCCTCCCAGTCCTCGCACGTTCTAATAACAACCTCCATCCAGCCTTGGCATAAGGGAGTCACCTCCGGTTATGTGAGGAGGGGGTGGGGAGGGGATATTTGGGGGAGAACAGTGTGTGCCGAGGAGGCAGAGGCAGGGAGCACTGGAGCACGTGGTGTCAAGGCCAGCCAAGCCAGTGACATCCGTCTAAATTCTAGCTCTGGGATTTTGAGCAGTTTCCTTAATTTGGGGCCATGAAATAATCCCCCAGAGCAGGTGGGCAGGCTGAAATAACAGGGGGAAACAGCTGGTATGGATGGGCAGTCAACAATGACTGTCCCCTCTCTACCCACTTTACGTGCGTGAAGGCCTTAGGAGGGTCTCTCCCTTACAAAGCTGCTCACGTAGACTTACAAGGGAAATTTCGGACTGATTTCTCACCTCCCCTTTTTAAAATGAGGGGTGAGGCAGTGGGAAGAGTAAATATTACTGAACCCAAACGCAGCATCCTCTTACGGGGGAAAGAGGAGGACCACTGGGTATCTTTGCAAACTCCGTGGACGTCTCTTGTCTGTCCTCAGGGGGGTGGTCATATTTAATGACACATACCTACATACCTGGAACAGAGGAAAGTGGCCCATGAGCATGCAGCAGCTAAGGCTACCGTGGCCAGGTTTGGGGCCAGAACCTTTTTAGTCCTGAGGCTTAATTCTTCAACCTGCCTGCAGGGAGTACTCCCTCGGGGTCAGGCACCAGGATACAGAGGAAAAGTTGATGGGGAAACAAGGAAAGTGTGTGATAAGGGGAGAATGACACGGACCATCCAGGGTTCCAAAAAGGAGCTCAGAGGAGCGACCAGGAGAGATCAAGCTGTGCCGTTACAGTCATGGGAGCTTCCTCAGAAGAAAGGCTGAGAGAAGCCAGGGGCGGCCAGGTAAGACGTGAGGCAGAAGAGGCTGGAGCCTGAAAGAAGATCATCAGTTTAGTTCCCCATTTTCCTTTTTAGTGACTCTGCCTGTAAAATGTACAACAGAACTGGGCATTTTCCATCTACTTGTGGACCAGAAAAGAAACAGTCAGGGGTGGATGGAAACCACCCAAGTGTTCAACGAATAGACAAGCAAAATGTAGCATATCCACACAAAAAAAACAGTATTCAGCCTTAAAAAGGAAGGCCATTCTGACACATGCTGCAGCCTGGATAAACCTTGAGGACATTATGCTCAGTGAAATAAGCCAGAGACAAAAGGGCAGATCCGACATGATTCCACTTACACGGGCACCGAGGGTGGTCCAAGTCAGAGAGAGGGAAAGTAGACGGTGGCTGCCAAGGGCCGAAGGGAGGAGGAAAGGGGGATGGCTGTTTAATAGGGACAGAGCTTTGGTTTGAATCGGGACAGTAGTTAGACTTCTTAAGATGGAGGGTGGTGATATTAACCCAACAATGTGAATGTATTTAAGGCCACTGAACTGTAGACACTTAAAAATAATTAAGATGGTACATTTCATTTTTAAATTTACCACAATTAAAAAAAAAACAACTCAGGAGGTGAGGGTGGAGAGCAGGAAAAAGAAAATTAATGAAGTAGGATGCCTGAAGAGAGGGCAGAGGTTTCAAAAACACAACGAAAACAAGAACAGAGACAGAGAATTTCACAAGCCACCTTTCCCGTGCTGGGTTTCAGTTCCTGCTGGAGACATAGCGGCATGGCTCTCCTGTTTCCTTAGAGTAAATTCCCACTCTTTGCATTTTAATTCTCCCCTCTTAGAAAATCATAATGCACATCAGCGTATTATTAAACGTTCTTGGGAAGCAGATGTTGAGGAAAGCAGCCTGTTGAACTTGGTTTAACGAGGCACTTCTTAAACATCTGTCTTTGGCAGTGGAAGCCCCGGCTCAATGAATATCTGGTTCCACCTTGCAGAACACACTTGAGAAAACACAGCTGAAGCCAAGGTGGGCCCTGGACGCAGGAAGTGCAGCCATCAGCTCCAGGTGTCAAAAGGGTGTCCCCCATCCGCACCCCAGGCAGCCCCTGCAGAGTGGCCAGCAGGACCAGCCTGGAAGACGAGGCCCGAGAACAGGAGTGGCCAACGTGCGGGAGGAGCCCTGTGCTGTGTGCTGCCCTGTTACTCCACACCCACCGCATAACTGCTGTTCGCTCTCATAGGGGAAAGCACCTTGGCCCAGAAATCGGGAGACCCGGTCACCGCGTGACCTGAGCAAGTCCCCTCTGGCTCTAGAAGAGCAATGCTATAGGAAGGCTCCGTGCCAGTGATACAAACTCTGTATTTGCCTTGAACTGGCCAGAATGGAGTGCATGATCAAGCCCCTTTGACTCCAAGTCTACCCTAAGAAGACAAAACAGGGTCAGCCTGCCGGGTTGGCCTGTTCGCTTATTGAAGGGAGGAGGGAGGACAGAGTGGAAAATATGCGTGCCGTCCCAGGTGAGCTCGCTGGATCGTATGACGGGAGCGGAGAGGCCCTGGGCAGAGCGCACATCTAACTCAGCACCTGCCTCTTCAGATGGGAAAC